CCCCAGGTGTGTCATTGTTTTTAACTATATGTGTAAAGAAAAAACTTGACCAGCTAGACCTTAGATGTTTAGCATGAAACATCTTCTAATGGGTGTCTACCAAGTTTGTTCAAAGAAAAGCCCTGGGGTTTAAACTGGCCCCGCTACGGGGGCCTATATACAGGTGAGCGACTTCAGGGCCATCATGGCCCTCTTGTTTATTTTGATTTTTATGTATGCTGCTGTAATAAACAATAATGAATTACTGGTTTTCAGGTAACTATTAGAGGAAAGTGAAAGCCAGAAATGAGGATTTATCTACAATAAAGGACGAACTTCATACTTCATTTCAGTGTTGTACATTTTGTGGTCCTTGGGGAACACTGATGCCATCACTAATAAGTATTGAGAATTAAATACCGCTCAAGCAGGTGCTAGGGGGCGTGAGGGATGTTGCACTTATTCATTATTCTTCATGTACAGACTCAATCAAATAGAGTCTGCAATTTTCATTTAATTTTTTTGTGATTAATGCTTCCAAAGATATCACTTTGTTTCCAGATAAGTAACAAGAATGTCTAGATAGCAATAAAGGTCAAGTACTTATTACCATGGACATGGTACAGAAACTTACACAAGAATCTGACAAGACGAAGAATCTATTTATCAAGGTAAATAGAAAGTATCTACAACGTTTTATCCTGTGGTCATATTTAAGTATATTAATGACAATACGAAAGCATTTTAGAGACTTTAAGTTTTATTGCCATCAAAAAATTATTTTCAGGGGGGTCGCTTATGAATGACTTCATATGTAGGCCATATTCTAAGTGGGTATAGGGGTAAACTCTTCCCCCTCTTTTTCTTGAATTGCTTGTTCCAGCATCTCTCCATACAGACGGCAAAGGCCGATTACTTTCGGTTCTTAAATGTTAAAGGTTAAATAGATAACTTGTTTTTTTCTTTAAAACATTTTGTGTACTTCATTTTGTTTACTTCATAGTTTTCCAATAAAATGCCAATTTTTTTGCAGAGCATTATTTGTGTGGTCTTTCTGTTTGTTAGTCTACATTTGTTTTATTTTGTCACAAACATTGACCTTTAATATTTTTTTACATTTACAAATTCCTTCCATCCAGAGCTTCCAAACATCAAAGGTACATTCACCTTACACACCTTGATGTGCTCTTCTTGAAGTTCTGGTCAGATTCCTTATGGAGTTCATGGGGTCAAAGGTTTATGTCATTAAGGCACAAAAACACCAAATAAAATAACCTTGGTAATAACATATTGTCACGATCTAGGCACGTGACGTTGCTGTCTTCACCGTATAATTGGCTATGTTGATAAAATATGTCACAATCTGGGCACGTGAAGTTACTAACTTAGTCGAATAAATTCTAAGTCTTGATTATAAGACTTATTAAAATATGTCACGCTTTGGACATGTATCACTGCTGCTGCTATGTTGAATATATATTGGGTTAAATTAAACTATACCTATTATTTATAGTCATACATCACAAAGGAGAAAGTCGTTGTAAAGTTTATAACTTTTAATAAAGCACTTAGCTCAACAATTATAAATCAATAGTAAAACATGAAATATTTCTAACGTATTAATATCAATTCCTAATGTTCTTCACAGATTGATAATGTAATCATACAATTCACACAAGAGAAAGTCAATTAATAATGTAATCATGCAATTCACACAAGAGAAACTCAATTGATAATTCACACAAGAGAAATTCACTCTTTAATTAAATGTACTTATTATTAATATAACTAGTTGCTTTTAATCAGAAATATCACTTAAAACTTGTGTTAACAATTCCTAATAATTGTTGCCTTAAGACTTAAATAATTCTCAACGCTTTCCTAATTGTCAACTTTCTAATTTTGATAACAGCATAAACGACTTTTCACAGTTAAAAATACGCGCGAACAAAATGGCGCACCAGTGAACCGTGATAAAATAGCAGAAATGTTTATCACTGACAATTACAAAATATGTGTAAATATTAGTTTAAAAATGTAACAGCTTATCAAAACTCTGAAGTGAATAAAAATGTTTATCTAGATAAAATAGCCCGCTTACATTTAGTGTAAAATTAATTTTATTAAGGCTAACGAAAATTTAACCGAGCGTAGCTTTACGTTAGAAATTCTGACTTATGACTCCTCGAAATGCGGCAATCCCAGCCTATTTATACTAAATCTGCAACCGCAACCAAAATGCACCCCAAAAACTGACTGATCACCCCAGAAAATGGTTGCAGGTTAATGCACCCCAAAAATAGTCTGCTTGCAACCAAAGTGCACCCAAAGAAATGGTTGATCACCCGTAAAATTGGTTGCAGTCTTAGAGAATTTACAGAGACTGATTTACAAGAAATAATGGCCATCTCGGTAAAGTCTACGCTACTGGTTTAAAGTAGAGACTATATAACAGTATCATGTACCTGAGACAGGTTTAAATTATCGATTTTCCTCTTGTACATAGTAGATTTACGCTTGGTAACCAACAACAATACCACAATGCACTGCGAGTAACATGGCGTCTATGTAAAACTAAGGTAGCACACCACAGTATTGTAAGCCACAGCTTCGAATGGCCAGGGAGGATTTCTTGGATATAGTGAATATTCTGGATTTAAATGACTGGTTGTCTTTAAAATGCATTTTCAGCATAAAATTTGTTTTTGTGACATCTAATATGATCACTGGCATATTCGAAAACATGGCCAGAAATCACATGCTGTTGATTATGAATGTCAAGGCCGCCATTTTTTGTAAACATTGCTTTTATACAGCATGCACGGTTAAAAGAAGTCATTTTACAGGGGGGTACAAACTTTTAGCAGTAGCAAAAAATCTACAAGGTTGAGGACTAGTTTCTTTGTGATATTTTGCATGTATAGGGAGTTGCTAAAGCAGTGACAGTGTTCCTTTAGCCTGTATATTTGCAGATATTTTTTGCCAGAGGGTCGAAATGTGTTGTTTTGGGTCTCGGGCCACTGTAGATTTTGGGCTTCAACGGAATGAATTGCAAATTTTTTGACTGCCTGCCTATTGCAGATGAGATAATTTCTTTGTAGATTTGCAATTTTATGTCATATATGTTCTCAACAAAATGTGTTTTCTTTTCCAGGTTGTGTAGTTTGGTATCAGAATTATTAGACGTATTGCTTGTAGGACATTGACGGCAGGAACTTGAAATTAACTGTGGAGTGCTACCCTAGTGAAATGTGTTTACAACAATTCCCAACATTTTGAGTTAATTACATGGATTTAAATCAAGTTACATGATGCTTAAGAAACACAAGACTTTGCTCATATAGTGCAATAATGCTTCAGCGCAATATTAAAGGATTTACGCATGGAAATAAACAAACAATTGAAAATATACATGTCCGAAAAATTCGGATACATATTCAGACTGAAATAAAGGATCAATGAGGATTTCCACAAGAATGTACAGGCTAAACAAGTATAAAGCTACTTGTATGAGTGTATGTTTTGTCATTCTAAAGCGAAATATGCCTCATCTTGTGTTTTATAGCTGGTTTTATCACCAAACATGTTTGTCAAGAATTAATGAAATATGCCTAATGTCAAAGTACCAAGATCGGTAAGTATACATATTTTAAACTTGTAGAACAAGTTGTAGTACAATATTAATGCTTGAATCAAAAGCCAATACATTTGATAATGATAATTACTGTAACATACTTTTGCTGCAGTGTCAGGATAGCTATTTCGAAAATATCCCACATCATCAGTGCCAAGAATTACTAAGCATCAATTTATAAGCTGAACTTTTTTTTAAATTATGTATAGTACAACACTATGTTGGTTGTGTTGTTACTTGTTACATTTTGTGCTTTCAGATTTCTAAAAGCAAATGAAGATAACGGTTTGGTTTAATATTTCTTAAAAAACAGGCTATGCCAGTATCAAATATATAATAACATGAAATTTGCCAGCTCTTAATTGAGAACAGTTGCTTATTCAAGTTTAATCATAATTAAACTAGCATTTAGGAAAATGGTAACCTATTTAGATCTTGTATTGACTATCTGATAGAATTTAAATAATGGCGTCTTTCAACATCATTTGCTGTTCCCTGACCAATGAGAAGCGACATTCTACATAAAATGTATTTATAACCTTTGAGCGATTTAGAAAATTAGTATAGGATTTTCGAGTAATCAAATTTCACTTAGATTTAAGCCAATCAAAAATTGGTCAGGAACCCCAGTCATGAAATGAGTATATCGTATCAACTGGTTATAATTACAAAATACAAAGAGAAATACAAAAAATTTTATTCATCAATTTTTGAAAAAATTAAAAAACCTCAAGTAACAAATTAAAATTTAAAGCAACAAAACGGAAATTACGATTTTTTTTATGGGTCTAAATCAACTATGGGAAAAATAAGATTAGTACCCTTTTTATAATTACAAAACTAAACCATAAAAGTTAATTTCTTGAACAATTGTTGGCTTACATATTACAAATACATATTATGCAGTAAAGCTTAATATGCTTCGATTAAGTACGAAAATATAAATATAATTATGCACCTACCTAAAATATGACGGCTCTAACAAACATTTTAGGAAAGTGTAAGGAATACAGATATTTGTAAAAATGATTGAATAGATGATGATAAATGAACAATTACTGATTATTTCATGTGAAGATAATGAATACTACAAAAATGTTGGGAATCAGACATATTAATTCAAAGTGAAGTTATTATCTTACTTTGAATTATCAACACTCAGACATGAAAACCAGGCTATATGACAAGTTGCTTGATCTCTTTCACATATGGAATTATGGATGACATATACAGATGTATTAAAAAGTGTTTCTTATGACAAAAAATCTACTATTTGAAAAATATAAGATGATGTTGAGCATGAATGTTGCTGTCACAATCTACTCATTTCTGTTACTGTCTTGCTTTTTCCAAAGTTTTGTCATACCTTTTATGTCCTTGCATTTATCTATACAGATAAGAGCGCGTTGATATGAATCTTTGCAGCATTATTTCTACCCCTTACATTAAGTGACATCCAATAACACTGTAAAGCCTCTCCAGCTCTACCTTCTTGTTCCATGCATTTTCCTAGAAGATTAAGAGCTGTTTCCCGATGTCCAAGGTTTGGTTCCTCTTTTATGGTTCTGGTAAGTTTGAAGAGAGCAGCTTGTTTCTGGTCATGTCTTCCTAAATGGCTGTAAACTTTGTATTGTAGAAAGTAGAGGTAAGGGAGGGAATCCACCACAGCACAATCCATCCAGTCGTTGTCTCTTTTTGTTCGAAACACTCTGTCCTCTTTGGTAGATCTATTCATTTCATACTTGAGTTCTGTTGGTACACAGTGAATTTCACATGGCATAAATTTAACACATGATGCCGTTATATACTGTAAGGCTGTTTCATTATGATTGTCACATAATTCTTTGAATTCATCTCTAATTGTTTTTCTCACAAACGGATTACATTGACAGACAGGCTCAACAATTTGTAAATCATATCTTTTTTCAATCTCACTGAGTATTAGGTCAGTTTTTTGTACTTCTCGCACACAGTATAAGATGGAAGCTAATTTCAGTCTACTTGATGCAACATCTGAATTCAAACCAAGTGAGATGAGTTTGAGGGCGTCTGCTGATACATTATTGTACTGATGGATGTTTAATGAAGCCAGGACAGATCCAAGTGTTGTACAATACCATGGTAACAGAACCAGACTGGCTGCCTTATCCAATCCTTCATATTGACTGTTGAATGTTTTTGACACAAAGTTCTTTAATATTTCTACAGCTTCATATGGACTACTGTCCAGAATATCGTCATAAGTATATTTCAGTGTTTCAGATGTAAATACAGCAATATTGACTAATAGTGCTGGTAAAATGAAATCACTTGCCTTGTATAGAGATAAGTTATAAAACTTGTGATGAACCCTTGAACCAAGATCATCACATTTAATCCCAAGTAGTGCCACTCCTTCACTGTTGATGACATTGTTGAGTATTTCGAGGATATATGGTTTAAATGCGGATGAAATTTTTCCCCTCATTAAATTGTTCTCAGGTATCATAAAATGTGGACAATTTTCATTAATGATATTGTTGTACAGTAGATATAAACACAGTGACAGACAAGTAAGTAGGTTGTTTTCCCTCCAGATGTTAGAATGTGTATTGGAAATACAATGGAAGAGTACAGTTTTACACATGTAACTGGATATAACATCTGGAAAAAATGGATTTATTAATGATTTTATAATCATTTTCATTAAGACATAACAGCGAATCTGTGTAATATTCAGGTTGAACATTAAACACCGTTCTGCTAAAGATGTTGAAATTCTCCATTCAAGTTGCTCATGTTCACTGCCTTTACATCCAACACCAACAACAAAACATCCAGTTCTGCTGCAATATTGTTTCATTTCAGCAGACGGCCATTGACCTTCACCTTGTTGAAGTAACCATTGTCTAGCTTGTTGTGGCCATGTTGTACAATGTAGAGCTAAAACTTTATCTACATCCATAAAGCCTGGTTGTCCGTGTTGTGCATATGCTGGCCCATGTATTTCTTTATGGCCTCCAATTGCCCACGATAATATAGAATTCTTTAAAAGTAATTTTCCTGTTCTGTCCTTGAAGAAGAATTGACCAGATTCACCATTTTCAGGAAGAGGAGCATCAGGTCTCAGACTTTGAAGTAAACAATATCCAGGAGATACATAATTATCTTGAATCATCAGTAGATTAAGCACACCAGGTACCCAGTCACTCCAGTCTTGTATCACAGGGAGTAGTTTAGTACAAATAAGACGATCTGTGTCTGAATGGATTCCAATTGTAGTTGTGCCTTCTGATTGACTCCCAAAAAAGTATGTTATAAAACTTCCATCAATTAGTTGGTAATTGATATTTTCTATTACTTCTATCAGAAGAAATGTTCTTCTCCTCTTCATCACTATTCTCTCATCAACACCTATATCAGCCAGAACCTCTGATAGCTTCATTGACACATTCTGGGTGTAATTTGGTACTTGATACATTCTGAAAATATCAATGTTCTTAAAATATTATAAAGTTTCTGACTTATTTAATTTCTTTATTTTCTTATCTAAGATCACCATAATCAGATTATTATTGTTTTTTGTTAAATTTTCCTTTAGATAAAATTGTTTTGAAATAAGTTATCATCAGCTTCATCATAATTATTTTTTGTTATTTTTAAAAAAATGTTTTAGATGATTTCTGTTTTGTGAAAATTGATTTATACAGTTACTTTTAATATACCCTCTGAAACAATTTTTTTTATAAAACAGTTTAATCAGACCTTTGACTTATTTTAGTCAACACTCAGTAATATAATTGAATAGCCATTAAATTTTCACCTTTTTTTATATTTGCAGCAGATTTAAGATCATGAAGTCACTAGATGTTCAATGTTTAAAAAGTAATACAAAATACTTCAGAAATTTCCCAGTTGCTAACAACAATTAGAGTATTGGGTTTTCTGTATTTATTTTTAACTTCCTCTTTCTCTTTCAATCTTAAGAAAATAACTATGTTAAGCAGGTATTATATATCTGACATTTGTTGTCTCCTTTTGTGGGTGAAAACTCAGATTGACAAGATAATACTTCATGCATGTATGTTAAAGGGACTCCACTGAGGTATTTTGTCATGCCAGGACTGAAAATGATTTTTCAAGATTAATGTTTCATTTAATAAAGGTCTAGAACAATAACTTTTGTGCCAAATATCAGATCATTGGTTCAGTGTGTTTTTCCAGAATTCCAGAAAAGTTATTCTTATTGTGAAAAATGACCCAAAATTGTTACTCTTTACTATGCTTTTAATTTAAATCGAGCACTGAAATATGATTTCTCGATTTGATAATTTTTTTTGTTGAATTGTTAAAAAATAATTTTCCTGTTCTGTCTATGAAAATGTATTAACCTGTACCAGTCAGAACATTTGGTACTTTCTGAAAATATTAATATCATTGTTTTAAAGTAGTTTAAAGTTACTGGCATATTAAATTTCTTTACTTCTTTTGATCACAATCAGAATATCATTGTTGTTTATTGTTAAATTGTGATTTTTTTCTTTAAAGAGAATTGTTGAAGTTTAAATTGAAATAAGTTTTTATCACCATTTTGATCATAATCAATATTTGTTGTTTTAAAAGAAGTGTATTATTAAATGTTTTACACGACTTTTGTATTAAATTAATTTATACTGTTTTGTATATATGCTGTGAATCGAAAAATTCAATCAAAACAAATTTTTACTACTTTTTGAAGTAAATTTTAATGAAACTTTTCAGTAGTATAGAATAATCATTAATTTTTTACCTTTTCGTAGAAGAGGATAAGGACATTAAGTCACTAGATGTTCAATGTTTGAAAAGCAAAACAAAACACGTCAGGAATTTCCCAGTTGCTAACAACAATTAAAGTAATGGGTTTGCTGGATTTATTTTTAACTCTGAAGAAGATAACTCTCTTGAGCAGGTATTTCATATGACTTTGTTGTTTCCCTTTGATGATGAAAACTGATTGACACAAGATATGTGCACAAGACTATTTGTATTATTCTTCACAAGTAAATTCTGATCTGCCTTTATTAATTTGTTTTGAATTTGTTAACTAAAGTTGTTAATGAGATTTGATTATAAAAACATGCATGTGAATGTTATATACAGATGTAATCTAGCTTAATTTTGTATGACAATTTCTTTTAATTCATAAAAACATACTAACTTAAATACAATAAAAACAAACAATTTCAACAAGGTGTCATGGTACATTGATACTTATAAAACAAGGGTATCAATTAAATAAATAATATATTTTCATGCCCATCTTGATCTTGAATTTATTATAGCCAGACAGTGCAGCCTCAAACTGTTCATGAGTTGTCTGACATATTATACAGGGTTTCTTATTGCCCTTTTCATTTAAACGTTACAGTTGTGAATGCTATCTATTTTCTTCAGTTGGTATTGTTTCATGTAAATGCAGTCGAAATATGGGTGCAACTTGATAATAACAGTAGCGAGTAATAGCATGATTTTGTTGGAAATACTTGTCCCATCCAGTTTTTTTTGGCACTTCTTTTGGTCATTAAATAAGAAACTTATTACCTGCTTTCTGTATTTACAGATTATGAGGGAATGTGCCGCTCTCTGACGGAGAAAGAAAGGCAGTTAACAGAGCTAAGGGAGAGAACTAATGAGAAAATAGAACATCTGAAAAGAGAACACGCTCAAGAAAAGTTACGACTGGAACAAGATAGGACCACAGCTGTACAAGAGCAAGATTTAGCCAAGTAAGTGAATATAACCTCTACATACAGAAGAAGTCTCTCTCTTTGGAGATGAAAATTATTGGTTATTTAAGGTTTGTTAGCTTCTAGAGAGGTTAAGATTAGTGTTAAGTCTATCTTTGTTTTGTTTGATTTTAAGGTGAGTAAGGTAATTACATGTACTGGTATGTGTATAAAATAATGTATAAATGGGGCTTATTCAGAGTCCCCCTCAGTCAACAAAGACTTAAAGTTGATATAATTAGGACTTTTTGATATCATATTCAACAACAAATAAAAAAATATCACCAGAAAGAATATTGATGACATCATTTTGGAGAAAATTTATTTTGTTTCTTTTGCTCAGGTTAATAATAACATAGATCAATAGTGTTTTATGAGAAATGTTTCATCATGTATTTTCTGTATATTTTAGAAAGGAGAGAGACAATATAAATGAGCAGTTAAAACAGAAGGAGATACAGCTGAACACATTTGGTAAAACTTTACAAGAGTTGGAATCTGTAACAAGGCAAGTAATATTTCTGTCAACCCTTTTAGCTTGATTACAAGGAATAGTGGAAGCAGCCTACGTAATCTGGTATCGGTGTCTTTTTGAACTAACACAATTCCTTGTAAGGTTGTACATACAAATTCTTTCTGCACAAATATAACTTGAACCTATATGTTATATTTTTGTCATATTTGAAGAAAACTTGCAAAGGGCCATAACTGTAGTGTGAAATTTTACTGAATTATTACATGTTTAAGGTTGCAAAAAAAATCCTGGTCATTTCTCCAAATAGATACAATTGATAATGCTTGAAAATTGACGTAAAACCTGAAAGATCTTAAAGGCTGGCAAATAGAAAATGAACAAGACCCATCTTATGGTACATTTATTAAACAGAAATAAGGATTATTAACTGTAATTCATGTTTCACTTGACAGAGAGAAGAGACAACTTGAAGCTCATGTTCAGAAATTGGAATCCTCAACTGGGGACTCCAAGGTGCTACTTGATGGCCAGAGAAAAGAGTTAATGGCCCTAAATGAAGCTCTTGCCAAACTACAGGAGAGAAACACTCGTCTAGAAGCCGAAAACCATACCATTCATGCTGATCTGAAGGCTCAAAAGGAAAATGGGAACCGCGAGGCTCGGGAATTAAATATTGCAATAAATGAATTAAAATCTCAACATGAAAATGAACGACACTACCTCAATGATAATCTTTCACAAGTATGTTCATTACCTCATATAAAACTGTTTATAAATTTAATTTCATATTTGAAAATTCTTTTTTTTTTTAGATTTGTGTTTCTTCAAACAAATTTTTATCATGATAATCTTTTAATGTAGACACAAACAAGATTACGGTCAGTGGAAGCAAGCCTGGCTGCAGCAGCTAGTGACAGAGATTCCATGCAGGCAAAGTGTCGTCTGCTAGAAAACACTGTACAGGAACTGCAGTCTAAGTTATCAGACGAGAGCACTGGACGAAGACTGGCGGAACAATCTGTAGGCACACTCAGGTTACAACTGGAGGACATGAAAAATGACAAGGTATACAAATCATGTGATATTTAATATTCTAGTTATTTTAGCAATTGAATCTACCCATGGTACAAGCAGCCTGATAATAGTGTACACTGTTTGTTATTTACTTACTTAATACTTATTTTGAAATTTTATCTTACAAAAATGAATGGTTTTGTCCAGATTAAGGATGTCAATTGAAGATATTTGGCCTTGGAATGGTTAAGAAAAACGCATTTTGAAGAGACAGACATATGTTATTTATTGAAAAATGTTATGTCTTTGTGTTAATTTGTATTTCTATGTGTAATTATACCTTCATTTTTATCTATAGAATGTAATTGAAGCTCGCTTTGTGGAGATGAGGAACCAGGTAATGAAGGCAGAGGAGAAGTTGAGGATAGAAGAGGAGAAATGTGTGGCTACATCAGCACAACTTCAGGAACTAAATGCTATCTCCCATACCAATAAATCAACAGTTAAAGCCAAGTCGGAACAAGCAGAAATGTTACAGGTACAGTTTGCCAGATGTCATGGTTCAGAACTGTTCACTATTTAGGGGAGAAAATGTGTAAGCGACCAGATAGCTCAGTGGTCGGACACGCGGAATGGTGTTCCGAGGGTCCTGAGTCCTAGTTCTGATCCGGCTAGACATTTTTGTCACCCTTTGACATTTGGCCTAATGTTGAGCTGTGACTAAATATAGCATAGAGTTTAATTTCATTAAAGCAGAGGAGTATTTCGTGGAACTGTTCATTGTTTAGCGGAGAAAGATGTGTTAGCGGCCGGATAGCTCAGTGGGTAGAGCTGCAGAGCGGTATTCCGATGGTCCTGGTCAGGTTGCACATATTTATCCCTAAATAGTGAACAGTTCTTAACGGTGATGATCACTCCCCCACTATATTGAAATTCCCATTGAAATATTTCAGAATTACAGGTCAATGTGAATTAAACTCTGAGAGATATATGCAGTGCGCTTGCTTGTTTGTAAAAACTGAGGCACAGCATGCAAGTTCTGTTTAGATAAAATATAAGTGATTGGTTGCTAGAATGAATAGGTGAGATGAAATGGTAATGACACTTGTACTTGTATATCGGACTGTAAAGAAATATAACACATAAATAACAAAATAATTACACAAGATTCAAGGACAAAATAAAACATAAAATGATATTTTTAATAAAACGAGTAGTAAAAACATGGCACATATTTATCTTTTGGCAATTACAATTCTTATGTATGCCATTATTTGTTTAGAAAGCAAAAATAACTTCATACTCTTAATACTTATACTTTAATTTTTAACTTTTTATATTTTTACATTGCAGAAGGAGATTAGTAATTTGAAACAGATTATAGAAACACAGAAACAGAATCTTAATGGTAAACTCAAAAAGTCAGCTCTAGAATATCAACAACAAATGTAAGTAAAAGGAAGTAGCGTTAAGTCAAAACAATGTTTCCTCATATGACATCAGTACTGGTTAGGTCCAGTCAATTCAAAGTTTTAGAGATTTCTATTTTAAAATTTCAAAAAAGTATAGCTACAAACAGTATAGAGTCTGGTCTGAGGGTATGCGGATGTGCATGCTGGCCTGGTTCTATACTAATGGCAAAGACTAATATTTTTTGTTTATTCTAAATATGTGTATTTACGCTAAGTAATTTATATATTACAGTGAAAACATTGAAGAAGAGAAGGATAAATTTCAGTTATTAAATCAACAATTATCTACAGATCTTGACTCATGCAGGGAACATATTGCCAGCAAAAATAAAGAAAATCTTAAGGTAATGATAATAAACAGCAGTAACTGATTTTAAAATGTTTTCACAGCTATCAATGTTCACCTCCTGTCCTACTGCAAATATTTCTTGACTATAAGCGAATTAGTTATTAATTTTATCATTGTCTGGTACAAAATTGATTAAACCCAAGCGAGGTTTAATGTTGTGAATTACTTCCCTCATGAGCTTGGTGTTCTGATTGTGCCAAAAGTTGTTCAACTATTCACCACCCACTGATTTATATAAGCTTCAGTATTTTTTACAATTGAGATAAAAAAACTTATGTTTAAACTATCGAATATGAGTTATTGCCTTTTGTAATGTTATTAACCAGGTTTTCAACGAAAACCGGGTTATTGTAATGCCGAAGTCAGCGGGCAGGCGGGCGGGCGTCAACTTTTGGTTTCCGCTCAATAACTTTAGTTTGCTTTGGCCTATTGACACCAAACTTGGTGTATGGATAGCTTATATCAAGAGGCAGCTTGGGATTGCTACCCAGGTGTCTGTGATCAAGGTCAAGGTCACTGTTACTAAAAATAGAAATTCAGTTTCCGCTCAATAACTTGAGTTTGCTTTGACCTATTGACACCAAACTTGGTGTATGGATAGCTTATATCAAGAGGCAGCTTGTGATTGCTACCCAGGTGTCTGTGATCAAGGTCAAGGTCACTGTTACTAAAAATAGAAATTCAGTTTCTGCTCAATAACTCGAGTTTTGCTTTGGCCTATTGACACCAAACTTGGTGTATGGATAGCTTATATCAAGAGGCAGCTTGGATTGCTACCCAGGTGTCTGTGATCAAGGTCAAGGTCACTGTTACTAAAAATAGAAATTCAGTTTCCGCTCAATAACTTGAGTTTGCTTTGGCCTATTGACACCAAACTTGGTGTATGGGTAGCTTATATCAAGAGGCAGCTTGGGATTGCTATCCAGGTGTCTGTGATTAAGGTCAAGGTCACTGTTATTAAAAATAGAAATTTCAGTTTCTGCTCAATAACTTGAGTTTGCTTTGGCTTTTGACACCAAACTTGATGAATGGGTAGCTTATATAAAGAGGCAGCTTGGGATTGCTACCCAGGTGTCTGTGATCAAGGTTAATGTATTTAGTTTTCATGTTATAACTTGAGTTTGCTTTGACCTTTTGACAATAAACTTGCTGAGTGGCAGCTTTGGATTGCTACTTAGATATCTGGGAGCAAGTTCAAGGTCATTTGCTTACAATAGAATTTTCAGCTTCTACTCATTAACTTCAGTGTACTTTGACTTATTGATTGCTGTCACATCAAAATTTGGTCGTTGAAAACCTGGTTTTCGTCGCATTGCGGCGCTTCTTGTTATCAATGTTATACTGTTTGTTACTATAGCTACAGGAAGAGATATTGGTGCTAGAGGATAATGTTAGAGAATGTAAGGTGAAACAGAAACATGCTGAGGATACATTAAAGATAGAGGCAGATAAACAAATGGAGCTACATGCTAGGTACAGTCTTTTATTTCTTTGCTGTTCCTCTTACAACATGTCTACAAAATAAATTTTTCATCTGACTTCATTGTCGTTTTTTTAGCTCGACTATTCGATAAGAATAAGTGAGCTATTGTAGTCACCCGAGCGTCGGCGTCGGCATAAACACTTATGTTAAAGTTTTTGTAATACCTCAAATATTTTCAAAGTCCATTGACATATGGCTTTGAAACTTTGCACACTTGTTCACCATCATGACCCCAACATGTAGACAGGAGGAGGTAACTCTATCAAGCATTTTGACAGAATTATGCCCCTTTTTTGAATTAGAATTTATGTTAAAGTTTTTGTAATACCTCAAATATTTTCAAAGTCCATTGACATATGGCTTTGAAACTTTGCACACTTGTTCACCATCATGACTCCAACATGTAGACAGGAGTAGGTAACTCTATCAATCATTTTGACAGAATTATGCCCCCTTTTCGACTTAGAATTTATGTTAAAGTTTTTGTAATACCTCAAATATTTTCAAAGTTCATTGACATAAGGCTTTGAAACATGTTTAAATTTTATACTCTTCTTTGAGAGCATAATAGGACTCTCTCCAAGGCCTTTAACTGTAATATGGCTTTAAAGAAAAATTTTGCCTTTTTCTTTACTTAGAAAATTTTACCTTTTAATCAAGGCTTTTTTTACTATCAAGCACTAAGAATAGTCCAGCGTTGCTGTCCTACCGACAGCTCTTGTTTATGTTTAAAAGCTTTCCATGTAACATTAATGTCTGTTTTGGGTTTTATTATCAACAGGCCAACACTGTGACTTGCTTCATTTCTAAAATGCATGTACAATTTTTTTTGTGTGTTTTATTTCTTTATAATTTTCACTTAATGGCGACTAAGGACAAAATTTAATCCTTTTGGTTAAATTATTTTTGACAATTTATATCATAGTTGTAATGTAATTGGCCTCCTTGTGTTACCTCAGTTATCATGTCATTTATGTTGATAGTTTTCCTGAAATTTAAATTTACCCGCTGGCTCTGATAATTGTAAGAATTTTGTAAATAAAACTATTTTTAATATGGTATGGCAAATATACTGATTGCCATATTTATGGAGGCTCCATGCATTTGTTTTTAATGCACATTTTGAAATCATTTCTTGTTTCTACAAATATATAGCTTGAAAGTCATATTTTGTTATATATCTAGCTTGGAAATGGAAGAAAAATGGTAAGCAATTAGCAACTGGGAATATCTGCCACTGCATTTTCTTTTTTTACAAATAGAACAACTTGTTAGCTTTTCCGAGAGTATGAGTGTAATCAAATACAGTTTTTAGAAGTTAGGTTTTTCATGATTTTAATTTAGTACGCAAGAAATAATCTTTCATGCTGACTGATAAATTGAATTGAATTAACTATAATATAACCACGAGAAAATTAATGTTACTTTCTATTTACAAAATTTGTTTAAATTTTAGGAGTGAAATTGGTATAAAATCTTAGTTTTTAATGATATTTAGAAAAATTGACAAGAAATTAGCTGTTGTTTTACTACATATATAATACAGGCTTCAGCTTGAAGAGAAGTGGTGAGGATTTAGAAATGTGGTGCTCAAATATAAAACAGCACAAAGTTTTTTTTTACTGATTGAAGTCATACACATTAAACTAACTTGCACTTGTGTGGAACTTTCTTGTTTCTTGTTGACTCAATTTTTGGGTGTTCATATTTTTATAGAAAAAAAAGTTCATTTTAGACCAAAGTACACACCATTGCATTCATTATGTAAATATTATATTATATAGAGTGTGGCTAAGATTGAAGTGTTACCAGTATTTTTTCTGTGTGTATATTATACATTTACAGGTATTTAAAAATTATGACAGAGAAAAGGATGGGTATAATTATGGGTTCAAACCTGTACAAACTTTATAATTTATTCTGAACACAGTGTGCACTCCCATGTCCCGATCATTGTGCCTGAAATAATGTTCAATACATTGCAGCCCTTCCTTGACCAGTAAAGAATGAAAACCTTTATACAACTGTGATAGAGGAAGTGTAACCTGAAATCTGAACCAAATATTTTACTTTTTTTTCAAAGGTTTTATAGCAATTTGTAAAGCTGTTCTGTAATTTTAGCTATTACAATAGTCATATTTTATGGGCTAGGGATTTAGTTACTATGGTTGATCTTACATTTCTTTTCAATTTCTTATAATATCTAGCATCTTGTAATTAAAAAGTCTTAAAATAACAATTGACTATTTCAAAATCTAAAGGAGGACTTTAACAATATTTAAACATATTTTTGAAAACCAGTTTTCAGCCCTGCAAAAAACCAATAAAAAAGGACAAAATTTAACTGTTAAGAAATTCATGAAATAAATAGAAAATTTGTTTGTTTGGCATATCAAATAATATTAAGCTCACAAACATCAATATTAATATTTCATTTTTGGATATGCCACTTTATCAAAAAATGCATCTCTTGTTCTAATCTTTGTTCTTCTTCATGCAAAACAAACAAAAATGTATATCTGTAGAATTTAATGTCATTTATATCAATGATATACCTGTTGAAACATAATATTCAAAATATATTTTCACATGGACAGGTTTGAAGCACAGGAGGAAGAATTGAAAAGATTACGTAATTGTCTAGCTAGGAATGTAGAACAGTCGGGTGACTCTGATAAAACCATGTGGTAAGATACCTTGTGATGTGCATTTTAGTATTATACATTCACTTACATGATCTTTTGTTTCTTAACATGATTCAAAATAGATATAAAACAATTGCAATATATATTCCATGGTCAGATTGAAGGTTTTTATATACTGAAATTTCAGAAACATTTACTGTTAAATGTATAGGTTACCATTGTTATTGTTAGATGTATAATGGTAACCATTATTATTGTTAAATGTATGGGTAACCATTATTACAGGCAGGAGATGAATCGAGTAATTCAAGATCTGAGTCGTCAAATGACTACACATCTAGACTCAACAAGGGGTGGAGACAAAGAGAAGAATCCCGAGTCCCTTGTTTCTAGGTTACGTAAACAGGTAGCGGAAGTGCAGGGTGAACTAAGTACAGAGAAATCCCTACATCAGATCACTAAGACATCGTTAGTGGCGCTAGAAGAAGATTGTCAAAGGTTACGTAAACAGTTACATCATTATCGTAGACGTGATCCACCTTCCGGAGAAAAGTAAGTAAAATATCTTGTCTACGTAATATTAATTCAAATCTATGGTAATATATGGCTTTAAAATGCCTGCTTTATAAATCTCCTCTTCGTAATATTAACTGAATCAACGGTAATATGAGGATTAAAAATGTTTGCTATATAAATTTAAAGAGGAATATCTGTCGCTGTCTTTGGAAATTGTTTTTACACTTTAGGCGAATTTCTTTTACTTATTTTTATTTTAACTACTCTGGAGAAATCCCTGCATATCTAAAATAAGAGGCCTTCTTGGCAGAGTGGTTTAAACATATATATATTTTAAGGGCGGACACTTGTCCTATTCTTCTTTAGGTTTAAATACCTTATGGAAGGTTGCTAGTTTTATACTTGAAATAATTCATATAGGGACTCGGCATAAAATCCTCCCTCATCCATAAAGCTGGAAACTTACCATAATAGTGTATTAGTGTCAGTTTGACCTTAAAATAAAAATATTATTATATGAAATATTCATTTCTTGGTATGTTTATTAAGTTTAGAGAGTACACCAATTATGCCAGTAGTGAACAGGTAACAGAAAAAATCACCTTGTTCTTAACATTTGTCTTATATTATATACCTGATGCAATAAACTAAAACATGACACAGTAGTTAAAGCATGGTCCTGTTTTATTAAAAGTTGACATTTAACAACAAAAAACTCTAATTAAAAGTTGATAATTTACATTAAAAAAATGCCTATTTAATCATATTTATAGTACATTTAAATTGTAATGTTAATATGTAAAGCTAGTAATATGTAATTCAGACAGTTTTTGATGTATTTAATTTCTATTATTATTATTACCCTTTTGAGAGCAATTGATGGCACTAAGTTTTGTGTGGCCAGGAACATTTAGGAATTTCTAATTATCCATTATATACTGAACGCCACTAAATGTTTTCACTTTTAATGACATATTAATATTCACATGTTATATTGATCATGTTATTTATTAAATGTAACTTATAACCTAATCGATATTATATAAAACTTAAAACTCACAATACTCACTTCGTAACAGATACTTTAACTTTCTATTATTGTAAGAAATAAGTGAAAAATATATTTATCTTCAAAAATATACTTCTTATGTTCTCTTTTATGAATTTGTTTTTTAAAAATCAGTATATTTTTACGAAAATTACTTTGTTATGTAAAATTCACTTCGTTTCTTACGTTAATTAATTGTTTTTAGTGAAAGTCAGTATATTTTATGAAAATAACTTTGTTATGTAAAAATCAGTATATTTTATTTAAATGACTTATTTATGTAAAAGTCAGAATATGTATTTGAAATTTTCTTTAAGTTTATTATATCATAATTCTCAGCCATTATAGATTTGTGATGACTGAACCCTGAAATTGTGTTACAAAGTAAAAAAGAATTCATTTTGAGTTATAATATGTGTAACATTTGCTTTGTTTTTAGTCTTCTTCTTTTTACAAGCTAGCCGAACCAACACATGTTTAGGTGACTTTTGATATATATTCACTAGAAATTATAGAATAAATCAAAATTATAATTAATTCTAAAAAAAACATCTTTTATTTTCCACAGAAAACACAAAAACAGAATGGAAGCAATCAATGCTATAATTGCCAGGTCACAGTCCCAGGCGCAAGCTCTTCTGTCTTCAGGCGGTTACTTTGATGACAGTATGGTCAGCCCTAGAGTCCGCACACACCAGGCCAGTACCAGAGTTGGATTTCACAGTCCACGTCATGCAGACTCCCCGGACAATTCCTACTGCGAAGATTTGTCCGTTGCTAGTTTACCACCAATGCATTATGGGCTTCCGTCCTCAAAATCATAGTATAGGTAGTGCATTTTGAACTGTATAGTAGCATATAGCTAGTACATACTGAATTGTACAGTAGAGTAAAGCTAGTGCAATCATGAACTGCACAGTATAGAATAGCTACTGTACAGTAATATGGTCATCAAGTTTAGTTAATGGATATTGAAATGTCTTGATTAATAAGTTATTTAGTTGGTGCATATAATACACAAGTATTACAGTTCAGTGTGTTTAATTAATTTTATGCAAGACAAATACTGTGTACATTACCAATGTAGTTTTTCACAATTCATACAGTATAGACTTATCTCTATGGAATATTGTGAAAGTATAGCCTACACATACTGAACTGTCATAAAACATTGTATTAAACCTTACTATGCATTATTTCTACAGCAGCTGATTACAAATTTGTATGATATTTTAAGAGAATATAACTGCCAGTATTTTATTTTGATATTGTCAGTCATATGATATTATATAGTTTAATAGAAGCAGTAACTAGAAAAACATACAGAATATATAAATGATTATATCTTTTTATATGTTTATATATAAGTATTTACTGTAGAAATTAGTCACAAACATTCCGTCCTTGATGCTTTACATGACTTGATTTTCATAAACATTAAATTATAATCAAAACCACAATACCAGGAGAAATTTATAGATTTAGTGATATATTGACTGTATATTTTGTTTGTTACCATGGCAATGTATTATTCCTATGATATGTTAGTTGTAGTTGTCCGTCCATGATATTAACTTTTATCTACATAATCATACATTTCTTTATTATTGTATTTATCACAAATCTTGTATGTATAGATGATATTTGTTTTCATTGATGTGATATAGTTTATATTTCACTGAGGCTATAAAATATTAAAATATTCTCAAATAATAAAAGTTATAGGGCCAATAAAGGGAGATGTTATAGGAAAATGTGAAAACCAAACACATTTTCTATTCATGCTATTATTTGGGCAACAAGTGTTCAATACATGTAACCCTCCCTTTGATGCCAGATTGAAATAAACTTAAATATTATTATTGCAATGAGGTACCTATATGTTTGAGTTTACAAAATAAATCAATGTTTAGTTAAGTATTATTTTGAATAATAAAGGAATCTGAATTATAAATATTTATTTGATAAGAAAACAGATGAATAATATAATTTATATAGTAATATTAGAAAGAAAACAATACAGAATTAAACCATTAGCACTGCAGAAATCACCTAAAAACAAGACTCCTCATATATTTAAAGGAACAGGCCTACTCTTATATTTTTATCATACTATATGATGTTATCTGCAATATTTTAATGTCTGAAGATTAAGAAACTAAGATATCTGGGCATTTTTTGCAATATATTGAAATAAAGCAGTAATAAATATGTGTTCATTACCATTTAAGACATTCTTATCATACATTACCAACAGCAATTAAGTTAATTCATTATTCTAGTTGTACATTCCTGGGTCTGTCACAAACATTTTCATGATGATTTGGTTTAAAAATGATTATGTTCTAAATGATAATGTATAATTTGCATTAGTTTTTCAAAGCCTATAATCAAATACCTGGATTTTCATGCTGTTGTTGTTGTTTTTGTTGTTGTTGTTGTTCTATTTTTAGGGGGGGGATGGAAAATTAAGCATTTACTTGCAGAAAACAGAAAAATATGAGTATTGATTAAATTATAACTTTTAAGGAAACTGCCCTTTAGTTGATGACTGATATAATATTGTAATCTCACATAAAACCTAACAAACAAACAAACAATGCTATAACATTAAAACCTTATTTATCTATCCATATAAATCCAGCTGATTTGATGTATTTTATGTAATGTATATTGTATGTATGTTTTATTTCTACACGTTTCTGTGATACACATTTTAAGCACACACCAAAATTGCATTTGGATTTTTTTAAAGATATGTTTTAAAACATACTTATTGTATTTTGATTGTATAATAGTGTGATATGTTTGTTATCTGTGATTTGAATCTATTTTGTCTACTGATTTATAAACATTCCAGATATTTATTGAAAAAAAATATGTACCCATAAACGAATACTACTGATTTTTTTGAAGATGAAAAATAGATAAAGATCTTGTAACTCAAATTTTTTATTGTTATAACATAAACGCGATGCTCAAATGAAGATTCATCAATATTGTAAGTTCCAAAAAGCAGTTTTTGTAAAGATATTACCAAATTTACATTTCATGTAAATAAAGGGAGATAATTAGAAATTTATTTTCTATAAAGTCTTAGCCAAAATTTTCAGTAAGAAACAAATGCATATATTTTAATGAATATATACATATATATAATGCAGATAAACATTTGCACTAATATTTAACATATTCTTGGATGTTTGAAAATTGTTTTAGCAGCATAATTTTATACATACTTAAAATTTCACTTAAATGTTGTTACATCCTGAAATACTACATACAGGAGCTTTAAGACATACTAACTGTCTGTGAGGAAAATAAGTCTATCCGGGTTTTTTTATCAATATTCAATACTTTTTGTTAATTCCTACATTATCAGGTCTCTTATTTCAAGCAGTGAGAAAAGTTGAGCACACTGTCTTCTTGAGAGCTCTTGTTTCAAAAGCTTGTTCATATTGAAATAGAAAAAAATCCAATAGGCAAATTGTTCTATACAAAAGTTTTAGTAGAATATAAAAATGTTGAAATTTTAGAACAGAATGATGTATAGATGTTTTCTTCTTTTTAAATGTAGTATAATGTACACATGTTATTCTTTTCAAGTCTTTTAAAAAACTTAGTTCAATAGGGAAATAGTTTAGTGAAGAGGTAACAAACAAACAAACAAAAAGAAAACACAAATGAAATCAAAATGATATTTTTATTTTAATTTTGCTCCTCTGCTACTACATGAAGTAACAAATGAGGAAAACTCTAAAATGTCAAAGAAAATGTTAGTAAGCAAGGCTCACTTCAAGCCTTATATACATTGTATGATAAAATTGTAACTTTATTCAAAACTTGTGCTTCACTCAAAACCATAATTTCTGAAACTCTCGTAGTAAGATTTAGTTACTCATAAATGAAATCATTCTTTCTTACAGATTATATAAACCAATATCTGTATTATATAACATTATAAAATATTTATATACAAATTACAGCATTAAACTGACTCAAATTCTTGCCAGTATGGTTGTTCTGTTAGTTGTTGTTTATATGGCTGTTTGTCTATTTTCACAATCTATTTTCATAATTTTAATTTCCCAAAAACTGAATCACTCCATTTTTCAAAATTATTTCAATAAAGTTTTACAATTGAATTGTATAATATTTGTACAAGTATATATGTTGTTCGTTGTCTATTTTAACATTATAAATAACATCAAAATATTGAATCATTCCATTTCTCAAAACCTATTTCTATATAGTATAAATAGTTGTATTTTATGGTATTTGTACCAATATATATGTTGCTTTTTGTCTATTTTTCACATTTTAAATTAAAGTAAAATTCTGAATCATTTCATTTTTCAAAATTTATTTTCATATAGTATAACAGTTGTATTTTATGATATTTGTTCCAATATGTATGTTGCTCTTTGTCTATTTTCACATTTAAAATTAAAGTAAACTTCTGAGGGATGTTGCACGTATTCATTATCCCTAATGTACAGACTCAATCAAACCGAGTCTGCAGTTCTCTTGTAATTTTGTTGTTATTAATGCTTGCGAGGGATCACTTTATTTCCAGATATTTTTTCTGAATCATTCCATTCTTCAAACCTATTTCCATATAGTATAACAAATGGATTTTATAATATTTGTACAAGTGTACATGCTGCTCTCTGTCTATTTTCACATTTAAAATTATAGCAAAATGCTTAATCATTCCATTTTCATTTATTGCAAAACTCTTTTCCATACAGTATATATCAATTGTATTTTATAATATATGTACCAGTATTTAACTGTAATTCTATTATGCGAAGCTGAATAAAGCATTAACTGAAAGAAATATGTGTTGATATATTGTGATGTGTCCCAAGAACTGAAAACAGAAATCTACTTATTTGTCATATAGCTACATTCAAGCCTTACTGGTGAAGGAAGACCTCAGTGACCCTTCCGTGCATTATATCAGGCACGAATGTAGATTTACTAAGATTAGATGAAAGGCCACTTAACTTGAATAACAGATGCCAAAAACATTAAACAAGCCCTGTATCAATTTTTTTTCGGTTGTCGGGGTCAAAGGTCAAGATTGCAACAATGAATATTGTTTGTCCCTTTATATTAAGAAAGACCTGACATACTGCTTCCAATATTTCAATGATCCTATATCGTAAGCAAGAAAAGGCAATGTGTGGCCTTGAGAGTTTAATCAGCCTCCGAAAGAGCATTGCAATATTTGACAGTTCAAAGGATCAGGTTGGTCAAGTTGGTAATGAAATATTTCTTGTAGTAATTCTTTCAATCTTAGTATACCAAATCAGGAAAGATAATTTTGGCCAACGTTTGGTGTAACAAACTTCAAGCAATACCAGGGGTCGAAATTACATCACTTATTGGGGCTAAGAGGTGCATATACTCCAGTAATTTGAACCCATTTAACCGCCACTTATGATCCTGCAGGGTTAAACATTGGCTGCAATGCCGATTCCCAAACCCGGTAAGGCAAAACCTTAGCCACACAGGACAAAAATTTTTTTTCAGTATAATGGTACTAGTGTTGTTGATTACTGAATGGTTGCTGACAGCTTTGGTAAGTTTATATTACACTTTCATAATGATCATAATCCTTTTTACATAGTGACCATGCCAGATCTAGAAAACTTATAGGGAAACTGATTAATCTGAACATATATCATTACCTGTATCATACTGCTGGAGAATGGAATCTCCTTGCATCTTAATACAATTGTCCCCCTAACCGACCCTCTTCGGCTTAACAAAGATCTATTAATGGAAAAACAGATGAAATACCAAATTCTATCAACAGATCAAAGCTATTTCATGTGAACAAAATAAAATGGCAAGCATCTTTTCAATATTCAGTTGCGTATCTACCGATAAGCCAATAGGCACGGGCGTATAAAAAGAAGAGAGTTTCAAAAAAATAAATTATCAAAAATGAAATCAATAATTTTGGCGTAGATTGATCAACATATTCATAGCTGCTTATTCATTCTATAGGTATGCTTAAGATGTTACCTTATTCGATTATGCGTTAACAATCCAGAAATCAATTAAGCACATATGAGCAAATTAAAATAAAACAATTACTTGGGTATATCAACGGGAAGCCATATTAGAGACAATAATGCTAATAAACCTCGTCAAAATCAAAAAAAATTATAAGAAATTGTCCAATATATTACAATCATTTTTTTTCCAGAAGAATAAAAATCAGTGAAAACTAAACATTTATTTCATTTTTTACATCTAGATCTATATGATTAAGATCTTGTCTGCAACTTGGAGTTTGCAGTCAAATGGAAGGGAGTTAGCTGTATGGAATTTACCTTGTAGCTATAAGTCAGTATATAATTTGTTAATTTAGTAACATTCGTTCATCTTATATTCATTTCAAATTGTGTAGAATAATTTGGGTCCTATGAATCAGATCTTTGCCAGCATCTATCGTTACAAACCGAACTCAACTTCTGTTTATTATACCGTAAAAATGAATACATGTATTTACAAAATATACCACTACAGAAAGATGTTTCTACTGTATTATTTTATTGTGTATAGAAATAAGTTGCATACTTCTGCAAACAATGACATATATACGTAGTCTCATCTATACATATTTAAAACATAGACAAATATACAACGAAAACAATGTATAGCCATATAAGACACATCATGTACGTCACAATTCTTTTATTTTCACCAACTTTAGATAACGAGTTGGCGAGCATCCTTTTATGTGCGTGAGGCATTTAACTTCTTGATGAAATATCTTAAATATTTTGAATGGAAACTGAAATAGTAGAGGTGAGAATAAAAACTGTTAAAGACAATATTTATTTTCTTCAACATTGACATAATACGCATTTAAAAATATTTTAAGGGACCTAAATGATCGTGCAATACTACATCTTAGCTGATAAATATGATAACATTTTGTTATACTAAAACATTAAAGCTGTTGTGTTTGTATTAAAGTCATACAGATCACTTTAAAGCAATTTTTTCCTTGATTGTATCTTATGTTAAGTTACGATGAAACAAAAGAACAATGACACAGAAAAAACTTGTTAAACATTTTTTATTACAATAGAGATACACCTGACTATGTATTGTTTTTCTAATAGTAAATAACTTTAAACTTTTTAAAACATTGTCAATGTTAGACTTCGTGCAATTTCTCTTACATTCAATACATGTACATGTACCTGATGTTATTTTCATGAATATAGATAAAGACAATAGAAGTACAATTAGCTTAGATGTCCCCTAAATTCCTTATTTTAGCACATCTAGATTTATTTTATGTATATCACTGGCGACCCTTCTGCCAAAGACCTTCACTCGGCGTACACTCAAAATAAGCCGAGGTACGCCCCTGATATTGCATTTTATGCTTATTGGAAGTTTCATTGTATTAGACACGTTTTTGAATTACCACGGTATAAGCTCTTGGCTGATGTCCATGGTCCGAAATGTCCTATTACCGCATATTCTCAATACAGCCATCTATGCATGTTTCAAAACTTTCAACTTTCATGAAGATATTCCTTGTATTTTAAACTAACTATTGTTCATGGAATTCAATTTATGAAACCAAAGAAGAAATATATAAGTTGGTTATTACATTATATGATACCAATTCTTCAATATATGGTACCAAAGTAGCCATATATGGAACCAGATGTCCTGTAATGGAACCGAATTATCAATATATAAATTCATTTTTACAATATATGAAACCAATTTATCAATGTATGGAACCAAAGTAGCAATATATGAGTTGGTTATTACATTATATGATACCAATTCTTCAATATATGGTACCAAAATTAAATAGCCATATATGGAACCAGATGTCCTGATATGAAACCGAATTATCAATATATTAATTCATTTTTACAATATATGAAACCAATTTATCAATGTATGGAACCAAAGTAGCAATATATGAGTTGGTTATTACATTATATGATACCAATTCTTCAATATATGGTACCAAAATTAAATAGCCATATATGGAACCAGATGTCCTGATATGAAACCGAATTATCAATATATTAATTCATTTTTACAATATATGAAACCAATTTATCAATGTATGGAACCAAAGTAGCAATACATGACTTGATTATCACTTTATATGATACCAGTTCTTCAATATATGGTACCAAAGAAGCCATATATGGAACCAGATGCCCTTATATGAAACCGAATTATCAATATACTATGTCATTTTTACAATATATGAAACCATTTCATTAATGTAGGGAGCCAAAGTAGCAGTATATAAGTTGATGCTACATTCAATGATAGCAATTTTCTTTATATGGAACCAAAATAGCATATTTTCAAGTCAACAAGTCAAAGGCCGAGGTAACTGGGTTCTGTTATTACAGTGCATACACTTTTTCATGAAATCAATTATTATTTGACTGATTATTTTTAAACTTTGTGAGTAGATTAACCTTGATGTGTCCTACTGGCCTTGCCCATTTTTGATCAAAGGTAAAGGTCGAGATGAACTTATTTTTTAAATATGTTTTTGTTAATAGTCAGTACGACTCAATAGCTTAAATTATGACATACAACTCGTACATGTGCAGTATGCCATCAGTGAAGCACGCTGGTCTTTTGACAGTTCAACAATAAACATTGGCGCGAAACTGTAATACCGGTGCAAGGATAGAATACAGCCTTTAAAAAAAGTCCCGTCAATATAATGACATTTTGGTTCTATATATTGCTACTTTGGTATCATATATTAAAGAACTGGTATCATATAATGTGAAAATCAACTTATATATTGCTACTTCGGTTACATACATTGATAAACTTGTTTCATATATTGCAAAATTGATTTAATATATTGATAATTCGGTTTCATATAAGGGCATCTGGTTCCATACATGACTTTCTTGGATCCATATATTGAAGATCAGGTATCATATAATGTGATAATCAACTTATATATTGATACTTCGGCTCCATACATTGATAAAATGGTTTCATATATTGTAAAAATGAATTAATATATTGATAATTCGGTTTCAAATAAGGACATCTGGTTCCATACATTGCTACTTTGGTACCATATATTGAAGACCTGATATCATATAATGTGATAATCAACTTATATATTGATACTTTGGTTCAATACATGGATGAAATGGTTTTATATATTGTAAAAATGAATTAATATATTAATAATTCGGTTTCTTATAAGGACACCTGGTTCCATACATTACTACTTTGGTACCATATATTGAATAATTGGTATCATATATTGTGATAATCAACTTATATATTGAAAGTTCGGCTCCATACATTGATAAATTGGTTTCATATATTGTAAAAATGAAATAATATATTGATAAGTCGGTTTCATATAAGGATATCTGGTTCCATACATGGCTACTTTGGTACAATATATTGAAGAATTGGAATCATATATTGAGAAAATCAACTTTATAGTGCTAACTCACTTTCATATCATACACTGACGGTATGGTTTCATATATTGTAACTGTGGATTAATATAAAGGATTCCGGTTAAATAAGAAGGTGTTTTCAAGTCATATATAGTCGAAGTGAACTTATATATTATCCAAATGGTTAAATAAATTGAAAAAGAACAATATCAGACAGCAATGGCTTTCCATAAGGAAACGTCAGGAGAGGAACTGGTAAGGTAAGAATAGTCTGACAACTTTGTTCATGAACGAACTTAAAGAGTACGAATGCCTATCAGTTGTCCCCCTTTCAGAAACCAGCCATTTGCAATGTGCTTTACCGTTTTAGAATTTT